TATATTGGATATTAGCCCTCTATCAGATGAAGGATTGGTAAAGATCTCAATAAGGATGATAATTCCACTTAAGAGGTCTCATCCTATAGGACATATTCATCCCCTGAGGCCTCATTGCCTAACACCATGCTGCCAGTGAGTAAGTTTTTAACATGAATTCATACGGATTTGGAGAGGAAACAACTATGAACAAGACTTGAGAGCAGTCCTCGTTCCCAAAGCAACTACCAGAAAGGAGAGGCATCTCCCCCAAGACAGTGACTGTCCTGGTTAGCCTTGATTGCCAGCTTTGCACAGCCTAGCGTCATCCAAGATGAGACACCTTAACTGAGAAATTGCCTAGATCAGATTGTGCTGTAGGCCTGTCTGTAGAGGAGTGTCCACAGATGGGAATACACTGTAGAGTGTCTCCCTCTGGCACACATCCTACAAGGCTAAGAGTCTTGGCTTTCAGGGAGAAGTCATTTTCCACACTCTATGCTCCTCATAGTTTCTAAATACCCTTGTAAATAAATATTCTTACCTGTGGGAAGCTATCCTTATCACATCATTGCCATTAACAAGTCTGTGCGCATGCGCTGGAAGGTTTTCCCGCCTTTATTAATCTGACAGTTGGAACACGTCATGTGGCCTGAGGCAACAGGAGCCCATCAGAGACTGCCACGTCCCAGGCGAGCTTAGCTTTCTATATAAGGGAAGGGTTTTAGGCCCTTGGGGTCCCTCCTCGTTTGTGAAGCTTATGCTCTCCCTCTCAAGATGCATTAAAGCTTATACTGCAGAAGGATCCTGAGTGTGCCGCGTCTTTCCTGCTGGCGGGAGGTTGCGCGGGACAACTGGTGCGAGAAACCCCGGACACTTGACCTTGCCATCGTCAGCACCTTGGAGGACCCCTCGATAGAGGAGGATTCAGAACTGCAGGGGTGAGTTCGGAGAGGTATGTCTATTCCTGAAATATTCGGGTTGTGCTTGGCTGTCATTTTCATGGTGCTTGTTTTGCCCTGTCTTCGCGGTGGCCATTGTTAGTAGCAAAGTAGTCTGAAGTAAATAGCCAGTGACACTGGTCTTGTCTCTTTCTCCCTCCTGTAGATAAAGGTGGGACAAAGTTCCTCTTGACTCCCGGCCGTTAGTCGGACGTAGATAAGCCGCGGGCTGGGCCGCTGTTACTTTCACTTTTGAGACGGTACTAAGGCGGACGTAGATAAGCCGCGGCCGTCATGGGTTCATCACAGTCAATAATCACTACTTTGGAGGCCGTACTCAAACAGCGGGATATTAAAATTGCTAACAGGACTTTGAGGAACTTCATAAAAGAGGTGGATCGCGTTGCCCCCTGGTTTGCCGTCTCTGGGTCTTTGGCTCTCCCCTCTTGGAATAAACTGGGAAAGGACTTAGAAAGGCACCGCGATGACAACGATTTGAGTAACGGCACAGTTGCGATCTGGAAACTTATTAAGAACTGCCTACAAGATGAAAACTGTAAGATAGCCATAAGGAAAGGACAGGCTACGCTAGAAGATGTTCAGGATAGCATGTCAGAAACCGAACGCAGTGAGAGGATGGGCGCGCGTAGGAAAAAGGTACCGAAACAAAAGGAAAAGGAACACCCTTCAGCTGAAGAAAAGAACCCTCCTAAAAAAGGAGAGATACTCCCTAACGGGAAAAGCTCGCTTTACCCCAACCTAGAGGCACTGACTATCGACAGTGCAGAGAGTTCCTCTGGGGACTCCAGTGAGGAGTCATTAGATTCTACAGAGGAGGCGGAGTTAGACGAGGAAGCAGCAGAGTACGAGGCAGAGAGATACCATCCTGATGAGCGTAGAATCAGAAAGCCTCTGAGGAAGCCCCCTAAGAAAACGGTTCCCTCGGCCCCCTCAATTCCTCCTCCCCCATACGCTCCTCACTCGGGATATTCCCTGCTCTCAGAGAAAGTCAGGAAGAAGCTCAGGACAGCTTTCCCTGTTTTTGAAACAGAAAATGGAGGGCGAGTGTACGCTC